TACTTCAGATATTCTTAAATATGTTATTCATTATATTCTTGAACTAGAGGGAAGTTTTAGATAAAATACTCATAAGGGTAGACTATAATCTTTGGAAGACATAAAATAATATTTGGAGGATAATGAAAAGATAGCAGAAATACCCAGGCCACTACTGTGCATACTCCCCTGGTATTATTTTGGCTAACAGCTCCATTTGGGGCAGTTTATTTGTAACGACAAGTGGTCTGTATCTCTGTATCAAAGGGATTAACACACTGAAGATGAACATGTCCTTGCTTTTCCTTTTCTGGCTTGGATGAGAGAAAGAGAATATTTTTAGGCTTAAAAATACACACAGTTTGATGGGTCAGGGACCAAACTCTCTTCCTTGGCTACTTATTGAGAACACTAAAACGTACAGAAGATCTTGTGCTCTTGGAAGCCTTGATGCAATGTATCCTAACAGCAATGCTTTGGTTTAGAATCTTGTACTGGAAAGAAGCTGGGAACCTGAGAATTCAGATTTTCTTTCAGTGATAAACATATGCCAGAGATTTACCTAAGCATCACGTTTTGGACCCCCACAACACAGAATAAACTATTATTTGAATGGGAAAGATACGACCTACCCTATCAGCACACTAGCTCTTTTCTCACAACATACAGGGCAGTCAGTCTGTGCATGGGCAGAGATTTTATTTTTGTAACTGGAATTTTTTTTTTTTTTTTTTTTTTTTTTGTATTGCACAAGCGATTTATTGAAATCAAGCTAGAATAAATAGCATAGGGAGGCTGCAGGCTGTGGCTACCTGATGGCTCTAGGTACTCACAGTGCCTCCATGAAAGTTAGTTAAGCGTTGAACTGTCCGAGATATTACAGTCCAAATAGAAATGGTTTTTGCTCCCATAGGTAATGCATGAGACAGCATATTTTCTAATGAGATACTTTGTGCTATAAGAGAGAAAAACAGAAACTGAGGTTTGGATTTCTTATTTCAAGTTGGGTGTGATTTTTGCAGGGGATACCAAAAATGAAGCAGTTTATTTCAGCTAATGCAAAAATCTGGATAGGGAAACTCTGATACTACATAGAGCTATACTGGGGGAAGATTTTCATCTCACAATTTAGTCAGTACAGTTTTTGCCACCACCACTAATCCCGTTACTGTATCGTGTGTCCCCCTGTCTGCACGGATGGTCTTTTAAGGCAAATCTTTCTGTTGAGCCATCTGGCAGGCAGGCAGCACAGGCGGCCTATTTGCTGCAGTTACTACAGCAAGCCTTGTCCTGTGATGCTGAAACCAAGAATATCTCCCCCTTAAAGCAAGAAATTTATTCTTTTATTCATACCACATTTTCATTATTAAGAAAAAATATGATTCATAAAATATTACCCTATGGCAATATGCAGACTTTAATATTAATGCCATTTTATTTAAAAAAAAATCCTCTAAACCAGGAAAGATTAAACTCAAGCATGAATAAATACTAGTATCTGCCTGGAAGCTACATCTGTGCCCTTTGTCTCCCATCTTTTGACATCCTGTGAACATCTCCAGAAAGTTACAGAACATTTTCTCTTGAGCAAAAAGCCCCTCATGGATATGGATGTGTTCAGTAGTCTTTGGGAAATGTCTAGAGGTCTTGCAATGTCTCACTCACATGGCTCCGAGCTGGCTGTATTCCACAGCCAGGTTTTACACAATAATTAGACAGTTGCTCAAATCATTGTTACTCAGTCCTTTTGCCTCAGAAAACATTCCTTTCGTGAGATTCTGCCTGTTCCACTGACTGATAAGAAAATGTGCATTCAAATTGGTCCTGCTTGTAAAAACTATGACTGACAACACTGCAATTCGAGAACCGTAAGCCTTAGGTTATTCCTAGGTTCTTTTGAATCAGCATGAAACACGCCTCTGTGCTGAAACGTCCAACCCTGTACTTTTAAGCTTTCATTTTATTCTTGGCAATCTTATCTCTGGAAGGCAGCACAACTGCAGCAATTGCACATCTCATTTCAGAAAAATAAAGAAGCAGTCATTTTCCATTTTAATGGTTTACTGGAAACTAGTTCACAGGGAATTAAAAGACTGATGATAAATGCAGATGAAAAATAGCAAGACCCAATTACTCACCCGTGCTAGACTGGTTCCAGAAGGAACTTTATACGGGACGTACTTCCTGTAGATATGCCCAACTCGAGAGCATGGAACATCAAACATGCCACCTCCACACATCCACACCTGGAAAGAGGACAGAAAGGAAATGAAAGAATGATTCCTGGAAGCAAATGGGGCAAAGAAGGCATTTTAAGTAATGGGTATGTGAAAACGAAACATCATTCTGTACTGACCCCTCCCACAGTCATAGTGGTGGCCTTCTCAGCATGCTGATAGCTGCGATTAGGTCATATGACAGACTCTCCTACCTGGAATCTCACCGTGCAAAAGCAGAGTATGTTGAAAATAAAATCATAAAACATATTTAAAATATCTACCAATGATCCTCCTGCAAGACAACCACAATATTATTGTGGCTGTTGTTTAAAACACACAGGACCAAAATTTCAGAAGAAGGTTACGTGAGTAAAGCAAGCCATCAATTGGAAACTAAAAAATTTTTTTCCAAAACCCCTGGCTTATATTTTGGAGCACTGACTTGTTGCTGGAGCATGTCCAGAGAAGCGCAACAAAGCTGGTGAGGGGTCTGGAGCACAAGCCTTATGAGGAGCGGCTGAGGGAACTGGGGTTGTTTAGCCTGGAGAAGAGGAGGCTGTAGTGAGGTGGGTGTTGGTCTCTTCTTCCAGGTAATAGGTGATAGGACAAGAGGAAATGGCCTCAAGTTGCACCAAGGGCGGTTTAGATTAGATATTAGGAAAAAATGTCTTTACTGAAAGAATTATTAGGCACTGGAATGGGCTACCCAGGGATGTGGTTGAGTCCCCATCCCTGGAGGTATTTAAAAGACAGGTAGAAGATGTGCTTAGGGACATGGTTTAGTAGTGGGCAGGTATGGTTGAACTCGATGATCTTAAAGGTCTTTTCCAACCAAATGATTCTATGAGTCTCTATTTTGCTTTGAATAGTGAATACAGAGCTCAACTACTAAGATGCTCTTCATTTTGTAAAGAAAAAGGAACAAAAATCAATTTCCTTCTGACCAAACTTATGTAGGCAGAGAAGGAAGATCATGACACTATATTTCATCATTAATACTTTAATATTGAAACAGGTGGAACCATATGGAGTACACAGGTTTCATGCCTCAGGTCTGAGCCACCAAAACTCAGTCAACATTGATGGGTGTTGCAAGTACTTCATGGCTTTAAAAATCAAGCTGTATCCTGATGGGCAGCAAGTAATGAATTCCTCACAATTCTTCACCTAGCATGACCTGGTTTTACCAAGCATACGCAAGACTGACGCTGTGTGTCATGTCAGAGGAACTGTGGCAATCATGCCAGTAACACCTATGGGCATGATTTTCTATGCTCTGGGAATGCAGAGCCACCAAACTCCAACGTAGGTATTAGATGACTTACATAGCGTACTGACAACGTTCATAACTTTCTGACTTCAAAACTAGCAATTTGACTATGCAAATCAGGGAAATGGAAAACAGCAGCAAAACCACCCCACACAACCCCCAAGCAGAACTCTAAGTATCCTAAAACGAAGCACACAACAAGAGTTTAAGATCAGAGTGAAAACATTGGTATTATAAAAATTATTTCCTAATCCTGGCAAAACAGTTTTTTGTTCCTGACAAATATTGGAACAGAATGGCTGTTATTCCACATAAGGGATACTTGTGGCCTCAGCTTTCAGCCCTTAGACTGAAAACAAAAGAACTCCCAACACCCTCCCATTCAATGTAAAAGAAAAACACACCCAAGCTGAGAAAGAGAAATGTCTTGTCCTTTCCATGTCTCTTTATGTGGATGTACATAAAGATGCTTCATGAAACATCTCCATGAGTCTGGATGAGAATTTACGTCCATGCATTACATACATGAAGGAATTCTATCTGTATTTCATGCACTCTGGAGTGAAGTGGTGTGAAATAAATTTGTGACTGAGGCTAAAGCAGAGCAGAACATAGAAAAATGAAAGTTTCACCAACAATTTCCATACAGAAAGGAATTAATCCAAAAGTTGATACTCTCTGAATTTAAACAACAGTAACCAGACCTTTAAAAAGGCAGCATCAGAAAATACGTGATCACAGACATGAAGCCTGCAGAGAACACTGTACATCTCTACACTTTTTTTTTACCATAAATTTCTTATTGCATCTCTTTTGTCCTGCCCACCAGCTGGTTGTAGCTACTGCCTTTTTGAAATCACAGGAAAACAAAATGATTAATTTTGTTCATTTGAAACAACAGTGGAAATGGGCAAGAGTTTGGCCTCTTTTGCTGTGCTTGCCCATTTGTGGTACAGGGGTATATCTGCCTGGTCCTGGCAGTGTGGTTGTGATCTTGGGACTAGATTTTAGTAATCTGAACATGCAGATGCTAAACGCTGTAATATGGGATAACTCAGTGCTTGAGTGTGACTTAAAGCACTTGCTGGAGGTAGCACACTGGAATTCAGCCCCCGAGACTGACTGTGCTATTCATACTGTGAACAGAGAAAACAGGAGGTTTAGAGTGAAGGCTTGAGTCGCAAAGTGATTTAGGAAGCTGCTTCTTATGGGTCATTTGTCTATTAGCCCTTACAGTCCCTTAGCTGTTGGCTATGGCACCCAGCTGACACATGGCAATGAAATGTTCGAGAATCTACACCACATCACAGGATAAACCTATGCACATTAGTGTAAATGGTTAAAGGAAGGTTTGAAACCATCGAAGGTGGGGCAAGATGATGTACTTGGCTTTGTCCTGAAATTCCATGGACACTGGCTGCAGTCGGGTACAGCTGAGAGCTACTTGGGAAGCTGCTACTCACCATCTCCCAACACAGTGAGTTAACTCTTAACTAAGGCACAGGAGCTCCGGCTGGGTGCTGCTGGTGCACGCTAGCTTCTCAGAAGAGGAGACAAATTTTACAGGTGAGTGGCATAGGGTAATAAAGGCACCTGTCCCGGGCATCACTCTGCTGAAGCACATACTTTGGCAGAATCAGGAGTATTTCAGTACTTATTTCTGTGGTGAGGATAACCTGCCTGGTCTCCCAGTGAGCACAGTCCTTCTCAGGGAGGAAATTTACTGGTGGGTTGGAAACAGAGACCCAGATGAATGCTTCTCCATGCCAAAAGTAGCTCCTTGCAGCCCAGGGCAGTCTTGCTATGCCATGTAGATATGATCATTATTTTCTTTTAAAAAATATTTTGTAAAATTTGCTTCTTAAAGAAAACCTTGAAATCCTCACCTGTTTAATCCCATGCTGCCTAACTAACTGAAAAACATGTTCATAAACATATTCAAAATCATAAAAATGATAATGTTAAAATAAGGTGGGAAGTGCCACCATTTAAAAAAAAGTTATTCACCTTTCTGCCAATACTTTGTATGTTATGGCATTTGTACCTTTTTTTTTTAGCGGAAATCTCCTCTCTGTGGCTGTCTTGAAACAACCCAGTGCACCAATGACAGTGCAGATCTATATTTACTATTTGTTCTTGTTTTTTAAATTCAGGTGTTATTTCAAAGGCTAGACGAGCTATTACAGTGATTAATCAAGGTTTCTTAGCCTTTTAAGAGTGGACAGCATAGCAGTTTGACTCAGATGAAGGTCATCCACAGAACAAATTTAAAAGACAAAAAAGCAGAAAAAAAATATGTATGTATAGGCCAGGATTACTTTAACTCAGATGATGAGAGCTGATGTAGACATATATTGCATTTCCTCTAAAGCAGTAGGATATCAGTAAAAGAAATATGAAAAGGAGAAAAGGAATGAGAAAAAAAAAAAACCCTGTCAGATATGCTGGGGCAATAACAAGTGGGAGGAAATAACACTTTGTGTTAGGCTTATATTTGATAGCTATAAAACTTGAAAATGCTGTGCTGCACCTGAGGTGTGCTGCGCAGGGTAATTGAAATGAATCTTGGGCTGCCTTGAAGGACATTTAGCAGCTGTTCCTGTTTATCTTTCAGCTTCAGAATGATTTTAAAAGCATTTTCTGTACTTTCCCGGGAAGATCAATTCTGGCAACTTTGTCTTTAAAATGTGCATTTTTATGTCACCTGTGCTAAATGCAAGAAATTGGAGAATGACGTCTGTGTTCAATATTACAGCCCTCCAGTGTACCGTGAAAGGAATTCAGGTGGTGTGGGACATTTGGCAAAATGGTATCGCAACACCGATGCCTCCTGCTTATCTAAGGAGCAAGCAATGAAAGTCTCAAGACCGCTTATGTCTCCTTCTTACAAAAGCAATGAATCTGTTCTGCAGCTGAGGTATAAAAACCAAAGACAAAACCAAAGCAATGCAATTTCAGCTTGGAAAGATCAAAAGAAGAGTAGTTTATGTGTCAACTATGTACTATATCACAATTTATCTTTATATAGCTCCTTCCAACAGAATGTTGCAAAACACTTTATAGGGATGCTTGAAAGCAAATGGCAAGCATTAAAGCATGCTTTAAAACAGATTAAGCTGTGGTTATGTGTTTTTTTCCTGATTGGAGCTTAGATGTCACAGATGCATTTTTTGGCTCTGTTCTACAGCTCCTGTGGGATTTTGGGTGAATCACCCTCTTTTCACACCACTTCTTTGTCTTTAAAATTAAATTCTGCTTGCTCTTGTGGTTTTTTTCCCCCTGCCTTATCTATCTAGTTTATGAGTGATCTAGCCCGGAGAATATCTGGAAAATGTAAATACTGTGCACACGAGAATGAGACTTCAATCCATATGCTACATTGTAATCATAATTACCGCAGTAAGAGACTCATGATTTTTCAGCAGCAGAGGATGCGTTGCTGTGGAACAGGAACATAAACATACAGCAAATTACGTAAAAGGTTGAGGGGGGACTGAGTGAATTTTGGATCAGGTTTCAAACCTAATTGAGAAATATATTGCTGCTGAGAGTCAGTAACAAGACAGACAACAGCGAGATACACTGAAATGGATGGAAGAAACAAGCAAACAGTAAACTGGTGGAAGAGGAATATAAAGTATGCCATGCAAAGCTGTCAGCTTGGTGCTCTGGGCATTGTGCAAGAAGTACAGACTACAAACAGGAGAAATGTATTACCACAATGGGGCTGAAAAAGTTGTAGAAAATAAGAATATAA